GTGCATTATTAGTTACTGATAAAAACATTGAATATTTTGTTGTTAAAGTTCTCCTAAAAGTTTTAGGAAATTTTTGTGTCCTACTAGTTACTCGATATAGTTATTCATAGTTTCCACTGTTTGTTGTAGATTTACTAATTAATTTATCCTCCATACTTTTCTCTTAGGTACGAACACCTGATTTTAGTTGCAGGAGGCATAGGAATTTCTCCTTTCCTTGCTATCCTGAGTGATATTCTCCACCGTATTAACGATAGCAAGCCTTGTCTGCCAAGAAATGTGTTGATAGTATGGGCCGTAAAAACATCAAAAGAGCTTCCACTACTTCAAACAGTCGATATGAAGTCTATCTGTCCATTTTTTCCTGATGCATTGAACCTTGAGATTCAAACCTACGTTACTCGACAAAAAGAACCGTCATTGGTAATTGCACACATCTTTTTTGTTCTAACATTACTGTATCTTCATATGTCAATCAGTCAATAGATTGATTCGATGCACTAATTGCAGGAAGAGGGCCATGTTATAGAACCTGTTAATTCTTCCGACTTCCCTGCCTCCAAGAAATGTGGAATGTCTGTGTTGGTTGGTACTGGACACGTTTTATGGTCGGGACTATACGTTATAGTGTCTACACTGGGTTTGGTGATTACTGTCTATTTGTTAAATTTCTTGTACATAAAACCTTACAACATCTACTACTGGTGGTATAAGGGTCTTTTACTCGTAGCATGCATGACCATTAGCGTTGTCCTTTTTGGGGGTATCGTAATTGGTTTATGGCATATTTGGGAAAGAAAAACTTCATACAATGAGGAATGTGAGAATTCCACAAAGACCAGCAGCATTGTGCATCCAAAAGAGACACGGATACATAAAAAAACTGGGCAGGAACAGTATCTCAACATTATTCGGTATGGTCAAAGACCCGACTTCAGCGGTATGTTCCAAGATCTGTCTTTGTTTTACTCGGCTTTTCTTTCATTATCCTCTTTTTGTGATGGTAAATGCACCCACCCTGTCCAATCCCATCCAGCAAATCCATTTTGAGACAGTGCTTGAGACTTGAGAATGCAATTTTTATTGACACTACTTCTCCCCTCTATGCTGCAGAAATTTTTGGGTCAATGGCAGAGC